AGGGGAAGCTCGGGAGGAAGCCCCACAACGCCCCAGACGTGTTTGGCTGCCCCGCCTAGTCCTGGCCGTGCTTAGGTACGCAAGCAGGGCAATGAGCGGCAAGGTGTGGCGCGGCGCGGCGCGGCGCGGGCTCCTCTCCGGACGTGTTGGCCGCCCGTTTTATTAATCCCCAGAGGAACAAAAGCCCCTGCTCCCTGCGGTCGCCCTAAGGTCGTCCGCGCTGTTGGCAGATTTGTGTTGGGTCCCGATTTGCATAAATACCAATATGCACAATGCGACATGAAGGCTTCCGAGAAGCCCACTTCTTTATCCCTTCCGAATAAAGGTCTGCCGGCGGCCGCCCCGCCTGGTCCTGCACAGCTCTGCTCCTCCAGGCGTAAGCAGAGGGTACCCGCAGGGTACCTCAGGGTACCACAGGGTACCATACAGGGTCCGACCGAGACAAAAAGGATATGGCCCGACCAAATATTGGGGCCGAGGAGTCGAAACGAAAGTGATAACGAAAAGAGGCTGGGCGGGCCGGTCTCGGGTTGGGCCCGGCCGAGGAAAAACAGAACGTGTGGGCGGACATGACTCTCTATTGACACAGTCAACAGATGCTAAGCAGGCGGGCGCGATAGTATTTGTGTTGGGTCGCTGTTTGACTTGCGATGAAGTCATTCACCTGGGCGGCCCACCTCCCGGGGCCGCCGCCGCCGCGTCAGCTCGGACACAGACTCCACGGCCTGATTCTGGAGGGGGGGGGGACCTGAGCATGACGCCTTCCCATGTCGCGGCCTCGGCCAGCAAGTCAATGCACCGGTATCTCTGCGGTTATAAGTTGTACACAAGCGGCATTGGGCTGCTTTTTCAATAAATAAGAAGCGAGTCCGCTCGGATCAACGCTCTCCCGGGCACGAGGCGTCCGCGCCGTTGGGCACCGGGAGTCGTTGGCGGGGACTGGGCGGGCTCCGGCCGTCGCCACTCAGTGCAAGGTGTTGTAAACGAGCGTGTTTTAACGAATGCCTCGCGCCTCCGCCTTATCCAGCAAGGAGCATCGGGTTGGGGAGAAGGGGGAGGGGGGAGAGAAGGGTGGGGGGCGAACGGGCCGCGCGAAACGGACGCGCCAAAAGATAAGCCCCACTTGAGCGCGGCTTCGAGAGGGGCGCAAACACTCGGACACACTCCCTCTGCTCTCTCTGTCTCCCTCCTCTCTCTCATTTGAAAATACAAATATTGTCAAACTGCACAACGGGTTCTGTACAATTTCAAACCAAGAAATCAGTTTTTAAAAATTATCTCTGTTTTTCTCAGGCGCACGGCACGAGCGAAACGGGGCGTTGCAGCATTTCAATCACCAAGCACGCTCCCCGGCGAGCGCTCCACCACGCTCGAACCAATCTCGTCGGTCGGGTGGCTAAGGGCAGACGGGGATTCCCCTCTCTTCGACACTTTTCAGCCCTCAGAGAGATCAAGAAGAATTTCGAATTTGTGGCCCCAGAGACGCGCCTGTGTCGCGCCCCCCCCCGCCCAACCAAGTCAGAATCATACCGCA